CTGTTATTTATTATTCTTAAAATAATATTTCTGTTCTATTATTAGTACGTACATCGAAAAATTAAGAAAATTTAAAAAAAATGTATTTTGGGCAGCGATTGATGGCAGCAGGCAAGAGTATGTGGCAAGTTTGAATGGCTAGCCGAGACCAAAGGAAATAGAAAAAGAATACGGGAAAGTCTGTCCCATTGGGTAGCATCACTATCATAATATTTCTAACCCCGTCTTCTAATCATATACAATATTATTCGCTAATAAATTTACTTTAATGTTACTTTCCCCACTGGAGGTAATCTTTTTTGCATAATCTTCTGGAATGTAAAGACGATCCGTTTTTTTAATACTTCACATAATGACCCAAAACGGCGGTCACATAGGAAATAGCTGTGTCCCTGGATTGGAAAAAACTGCTGTATTTGTTCAAATATTTTAATTACACTTAATGATAAAGAAATCGTGTAATGTATGATTGTGGTTCTGGCCACCACAACCATCAGAAAATATGTAAACTGTGTAGTGGTATCAAGAGTATTATTCCTAATAAAGTCAAAAATGAAACTAACTTCATTAAGTCTTTTTTTCTTCGTAGACATACGCATTCACGGAGTAATATACGTAGTGTAGGAAAGTTTTGCAATGCTGTGAAAACAACGGTCGGATTGTCGACAAAAAAATTAATTGCCGGGTTCTGAAAACGAAAAAGTGAATAAATTTAGTTGCTAAATTAACAAAAACAAGTGTTGCTGCCAAATCACATACTTTCTCGCAATGTTTCTAAACGCTCCGTAAATATTATATTGATTTGAATATTATATTGAACAATACATTTGATGCAATATACATTTTACAAAAAGGACAAGAGAGTTGTTTGAACTTGTTTAAACTTTCAAAATACGAAATTGACATACTACTGACACTTTCACTTTATTTATAATCTTAATAGATTGTATATGTGAGTAGAATTCCTTCAAATGATTTTCAATAAAGTTTTTGAAATTCTCAATAGTGTTCTGCTGCCACAGAGAGTTGTGACCACCCCCGAAACCAACCTTCCGAAACCGACATTTAACCACTTCGATTACCCGGGTTATACAGAGAATCGTCACTTCTATAATAGTCAATAGCGACTAAAAACAAATATTGATTAGTTCATACATTTTACAAATCCAATAAGAGATGTGAAATAATGTTTAAAAGTTGAAAATTCGAAAATTACATACCGACAATTCCAGTTTATTTATCTTCATAATTAGTGTTTGCGATTAGAAGTGCTTCAAATGGTTTTCAATAATTTTCTGTATTTATCAATTATTTTCTGTGGCAACACAGAATTGTCACAAATAATAGTTCCCGGCTAACACTAGAACCAGCCAACCTGCCCTCCGAAGAGCTCAGGCCGGACCCCCCCCCCATAAATATGTTTATACGGATGCAAACTAAACGAAATCTGCAGCGCGGCGATTCACTTGTCGCATTCAACGTAACCTACGAGCATCTGTTTGGGTGGCGTTGGCTTAATTCCCAGCCCTCACGAAGATGGCTGTGCTATTAAAGTTTTTGGAAATTTTTTAGAATCTTCTGGCCAGATCCGAAAGCAAATTGCCAGTTCCCCACCAGGAGACCGAGGCGCGTCAAATGAACCTCATATTGTCCGCTTTTCTTTAGAATGGGATGATTTGACAGTTAGTGCTGGCAACACAACTGACGATTATAAGGTCGTTGTGTCCTTGAACGTATTAGACTCTCCTTCCTCCATTCGTTCGTTTGCAGTTGGCTAACTTG